GAGAGAGAGAGAGAGAGAGAGAGAGAGAGAGAGAGAGAGAGAGAGAGAGAGAAGGAGAAACGGTCGTGCACTGATGCCCGCGTTTCTTTTTTTTTCAAATCAATTAATCAATCAATCAATTAATCAATCAATTAATCAATTAATCAATCAATCAATCAATCAATCAATCAATCAACCAATCAACCAATCAAGCAAACAATCAATCAATCATCAATCAATTGTGAGGCCAGTGCCTCTATGAGCCCCAGTCAGCCCCCATTTTGGAGCCAGTCGGCCGCCCTAAGTGAAGGCAGGCTCGACGAGGCCCTCAGGGCCCTATTTTGGCCACTGCGCAACCAAGGAAAATTCAGGCAGTTGCGCAGCGTCAGTTGGTTGAAAGAATCCAGGCCTTGGGCCGCCTGTGTAAATGTATGGAAAGCACGCCCTGCGGGTACTGGGCCAAGCACATGCCAAAGGCAGTTGGGCACATGCAACTACCGCAGGCCCCAGGCCTGTTCTCAATCGTGCTGGGCCTCAGGCCACCGGGGCCTACTGGAAGCTTCCTGGGACTGGACGCAGGCAGGCCACTTCGATATAGCAAAGGGCCTGGCTCCTCATTCGGGATTCGGGTGCTGGCTGCATGCTGCGCAAGCGCTGCTGCGCTATTTGCTGGCTGGCGCGTACGCTCTCACGGGCGAGCAGGGAAGGAGCACGCAGCCATAGCTGAGCTGCGCTGCTGTAAGCTGGGTGAAGCGCAGGGTGGTCCTTGGGTGCTAGTGGCATCTGTGTGTTGGGGGACGAGGTTGTGAGTGTGGCGAGAGACATACCTGGTGCTGGAAGCGTGCGACATTGGTCGCCATATGCTCGTACTTCGGGAAAGCTGTTGAAGTCATCTTTCGGCATCGTAGTATAGGCTAGATAGGATCTGCCACATGTAGTCTGGGCGCTGAGTGCCAGATAGGATATCAACTCTGGTTCTTCGTTGATGATGATGGGACTATTTCAGCATTGTCAATTATGAACTCTTGGTGTGTTCTTATTTGGTAAATCTCGTGATGCAATTCTGCTGTTGGTTCGAGGTCACAACTATCTGGACTCATATGTATGATGATGTTTGATTGCTGAAGTTCGCTATTGCTCATCTTCCTTGCACAATCATCAATCAATCATTATTTTTGTAACTTGATGCGCCCACCTTTTTTCCTTTTTTCCCAATGAATCAATCAATCAACCAACGAGTTGATCAATCAATCAATCAATCAATCAATCAATCAATTTAAATAATAATACCCCGCAGCCACCAGAAATGTGTCCCCAACCTGGCGGAACCGCGACCCTGGCGTAGGCGACGAGTTTTTGTTTCAGCAAGGCCGGGCCAGTACATGCCAGCTATCGGCCGTGGGCCCCTTTCGGAGGCCGCCCGCTGCCGACTCATTTTATCTACGGTGCTCAGCCTCCTAAATTTCCGGATAGGCTCAAAACAGGTTCTCCAATTGCCTGAGGCCATGTGCTGGTGCCATCACCACTATGGTGCTTTGAACCGCCTGAAACACTGGGTTGTATCGTACACCCATGGACGGCAGCAAAGAACGTGACGATCATAGAAGGTTTTGTCATTCCAGCAGACTAGCTGAAAAGCCAGAGGCCTCCTGGCTACCCAATGGGCGGCCCTCCGATAGTTGTGGCTAATTCCCTGACTACGTCCACCACATCCCAAAGAATGTGACCGCAAGCCACATTTTGTATGTACCAGACTGCGTGTCGTGGTACTCGTGGGTTGCATTCCCATGGCTTCGGTTGGGGCTGCGGTGCATGTAGTAGTCGTTTACCGTTGTCCGTTGCTTGTCTGCATTCCTTACACTATTGTGACATTTAATGGTTGCCATTACCTTACGTGAGGCGTAATGGGCTTGCCATACTGAGGGCCTTAAACCGCCAGTACACGGCCCCAGCCTTGCTGAGAAGAAACTCGTCTCCCATCCGAAAAAGTTGGCGCCGGTGCACTGTCGATAAAAGAAATCGACGGTCGGTGTCGTGTTTCGGCCTCCGACACCGCCCCGCGGCCGATGTGAGGCGTGTACTGGCGGTTTAACAGTGTCCCTTGTCTTACCCAAGAAACAAGAGATTCTGTCCCAGACATCATTCGACCCCCCGGTCCTGCAACACTAGCCAACCATCGGTCGTATTCTACCGAGGTACACGGGGTGAGACCCCACTGGTGCGGAGTTTCTGCTAAGGTAAGCTAGCACAACCCTGGCTGGTTTGAAGCTTAGGTGCTGCTGATGCTATGTTTCTGCTAAGGTAAGTTAGCATAAGCCTGGTCAGTTTGAAGGTTAGGTGCTGGTAGGTAGGCACCACTGGTGCTATGCTATGTTTCTGCTAAGGTAAGCTAGCACAAACCCGGTCAATTTGAAGTTTTTAGGTGCCTGGTTCTCTCAGTGTGAACATAGAACCCACAGGACCTGACCCTACAGAGTGTTCACTTCTTTGGTTAAGCGGTTAAACGACCAGTACGTTTCCCATCCAATTTTTTTTCTCCAGCACAGCACAGCTGCATGCACGGTGCAAGTTTCGGGGGTCAGCCTACCGAGGCAAAATGGCTGACGGCGCCAGCCGAAAGGAGGTCTGCGC